GCATAATATAGTAATGAAAGCTCTTACAATTAAAGAGAGGGAGATCAAAAGCAGGTCCAGAGAAGCGAAAAAGGAAAGCCCAAGCAAAAACTTTAAATTAACTTCCGGTTCTTTGAAAGCTGCGTTCATTGTTAGGATAAAAGTTTATGAATCCTCATGCTTGCTGAGAGATCTAATCTTTTGGCCTTTAAAATCATTTCTTCCACTAGTCTGAAGGTTAAATCTTCAAATTGTTTATTATTTTATAAATACGTATATTGTCGTTTAAAATGAAGATTCCATGAAATTAAGTTTTTTTATAATTATAAAACAAACATTGACTCTGAAGATTTGAGTTTTTTTTTGTGTGTTAATACAAATTTCTGCAAAGCATTCATTTTGTTTAAATTTAAAATATTACATGATGCTGATGTATTAAAGAGAGAAGCGATAAGTGCATTATTTTCTCCAATTTTATCATGAGATTCTTGTTCATTTTTCTCATGATATAATTATAAATGTTTTATTTTCCAATTGTATCTTTAGTTGCTTAATTTATTTAAATAACAAATTTAAAACTTTTTACTTAAGTATTTTAATAAATTAATTACACTTTTGTAATTTTCCTTGTTTTGATTAAAGCACACCAACTAGTGCAGACCGAAACAAAGCGACAGATCAATTAGGTCAATGCGAAACACACCCCTTTGGTGTCCTGCTCTTGAATTCATGGCCCTCCGTCGACGCCGCCGACACTAACAATTTGGGCAAACATTAGCAACAGCCGGCGGTAAACAATAAGTGGAGCGGCAGTCGCCAAATTTATTGCCTTTTGAACGCCGTTTTTATTTCGGCGAAGATGTAATTACAACACACGCAGGCTGCCACTTTGCAAGGCAAATATTTTATCCGGTGGCACGTTTCCATTTTCGCCGTCGGCAGATCAATATATTTTTTATATAGAGGTGCTCCACTTATATTAGAATAAAATTGTGCACGCATTTTAATGTCCACGAGCGAGTGGCAAAAAGGGCAAGTATAAATGCACGTACAAGCCAAATGGTCTCGCAAATTGAAACGGTCTGTCCGTGAGTATGGCTGCGAGTGTAAAAAGCTCGCCAATGCAAATTGCCCCAGTCGCCGCTAATTTCTCCCGGCTGCAACTCTCCCGATGGGCAATATGCTGTAGCGTCGAGATGTTTAACGACCAAAGTGCCGTTTTCTGCGTTTTATTGGGTTTTTGCATTGATATGAAGGAATTTTCTGTTCCGATATAAAAAAATTCATGAATACTCCTAAGACTGCCACTATATATTTCAGACTCACGAAGCACCCCCTCCTTCAATTTTTTTGAAAATTTGCATAAGAAACTACAGCAGATTCAAATGACATCAACAAGGAATCACTTTCCTTTACGGGAGCACCTTGCTTAAATAGTATTCAAAATTAAAATAGCATTATTAAAAATGTATTATTGCTATAACAAAAATTTTAAGATTAATTAACTTTAGATATTTTAATATTATTTGTTAACATATATTCATTTTTTTGCTTATTCCGTTTTTATTTTCATTTAAAACAAAAAAATCTCATTTTAAAATCAACCATAAATAATACTTAAACAGTTTTGTATGTTTTTTTTTTTTAATAAAAAAATTAAATAAGGTATGTTGTGAAGTGATAATTTCATTTGATATGATGTAAACACTGCTACTTTCATATGCAGAATTTTCGTCGTCTTCACATATAAGATAATATGTATATTGAGAATAGGATATAATTTCATTAATTATTACAAACATGTCTCAATTCTAACTATGAGGATTAAAAAACTTGGTTGATCCTATCCTAAGACTGTATGTAAAACTATGTTACAGTTTATCATAATACTAATAAAATTCATCGCGTATTATGTAAATGAAGAACATCGTTATAAAATATTCACTTCACTATTTTTCGTGTGTACAATAAAACATCCCTCAATCCTATCATTCATTTTTTTCATTTTGTTGTGAACAATCGCGGATGGCTTTTTAACTCTTCTTAAAATTTGAAGGAAAAAAATTGTGAATATGTTAATTAAATCCTTATAGAGTAAATATATTTTTGAAGGAATTAAAATCGGGTGAATTGCATTTGAATTTCGCAAAAGTTTTATGCAAGTAATCGGATTAAGCTGTAAAATCCAGTGAGACCGTTTTCTCATCAACATTGATTAATGACTGCATCGGATACTGTTTTTACAACGTAGATTAGACTATGAAAAATGCAAGGTTGAAATCCTCTTGAGTAAAAATGTTTCCAGAGAGAGAAGAGATAGGATAATGAACGAGAATGAAGCTCGCGTGCATGTGATGTAAATAAATGACGACAAATTAATGTGGAAGCTGCATTGCGCGGTGGTAATCGATCTGGTGCACGCACTCGACTGGAAGCGAATTACCTTTATCGTCTTGAGCCGTGCAAGGAAGGTAAACACACAACAGCGGATTAGTACAGTCTGCTGTGCGGCGAACGTGTTCATTATCCTTCCTCGAGGGCTTTTTGCTGCGAACGTTAAATGAAAGAGACCAGCACAGCTGTTGCTCGTAAATTTGTATATATTTGATTCACGTACTGTTCTTTCGGGCCCCGTTTTTGCTCCTGAATTTTCAAGGGGATAATGTGAGAGCCGTACTCGTGAAATATGATGTTGTGAAATTCTAGGGTCCGCAATTTCATTTTTCTTCCACGTGTGCTGGGCACTTTTCTTGCTTGCAAAGCTTTTTGGTTATTTATGACGCAGCTGTTACTGCCAGAAATCGCGAGTGACGCTTTAATGCTTGTAAACGAAGTCATTCAAATTTATGGTACTGAAAGGATTAGATTGGATAAATTTATGCGCAAATTAGACTTGCAAATCCTAGTTGATCGAATTTCTTCCCTGAGTTTTGCAGACGCGTCCAAAATCATCAAATGCGCAAAATTTAAGCAGAATAATAAAAATGTGTTCATAAATGTATTTTATTTGTTTGATTATGAAAATTCTAAAAGTTTGCTGATCGATCTCTATAAAGTTGATACAAAAAATTTGGATTTATAAAAAAAGATACATTAAATTTGAAGATATAAATAATAAATAGGAAAAATTGTATGGCCTATTTACAACATAAATGTAACCAACCGTTTTTGGCCAGAAAAAAACTCCACTGAGCAATCTTGAATCATCGGACTCTAAAAAATAATTTAAAACGGGCAGACTGATTAAATAGTATTCACACTGATGAAAAAAAAACTAGATGAGCATTAAAAAACCTCTTATATAAATAATACCAAAGTTCCTAAAAATACATTTGCTTCCTATATCCATATCATACAGCAGCTTTTTTAGCTCTGTGTATTAGTTTACATCAAAGGAATAAAAAAGGTATTAGTATTACATTACAAATTTAGCGCATCGTTATTTTCCGACGGAAAAAAGGAAAATGTGAGTAAAAAGTAGCGATGTTTCGCTTGAGGCTAAAAACGTAACAGACTTTTAAGTTTCTTCCTCGGAAAACGTCTGTCAAGAGCAAATCGAAAGAAGTCCAAACAATGCTGACAAAATCAGCAACTGCCTCTGATTTTCCGAGAAAAGCTTAGGAGCCTTCCGAGAGCAGCAGTTCTTGATGCGACTCACATAAAATCGGTGAAAGCAAACCGTCCTCTGCGCGTCCGTTTTATCTGTGGCGGATACGTACTTGAGCATTAGTTGATATGCAAGCCACGAAGGCTCCAATTTTCCCTCAAGAAAAATATATTCCACGGACGCGGTTGAGCGAGAGAAAGACTGTTTTTGCATAAGTGCATTTCTTTTTCGCTATCGGCACGCGCGTGTTGACGTTCCGGTCTTTTCATAATCTCTGCATGAATATCGCTGGTTTCCGGCGCAAATTGGGTCACTTTGTGCGATTTCACTTCTCCCAAGGCTGCAGTAGCTATTGAAGCTTTTCGCTTCTCTCGCAGTGATTTATTAGCCAGCTGGTCGTTTTTGCAGCTAAGAAGTAATGAATGGACGAATTGCGACGGGGGAATGGCGAGACAAATAAATAAAGGCCATCGATTGAATGGGCAGCATGCACGTCTATCTGTTTACTGAGTAGTTGAAGCAATTATTTATTACCCTCTTTCTATGCTAAAGAAACTGTCTCATTCGATGCTTGTGAATTATTAGTTGCACTTGATATCACAACTCGCGGCAGATTTCTTGCCATCGACGATATTATTAGAAAATGAATTTATTATTGTACTTTTTAACTTTTTTTTAAAAAATTGAAAAAAAAAATTTAATTTTTATCAATTGTATGGAACACATTTTATGTAAAATTGTGGGTTATCTGCAATTTTTTTTATACAAACGTTGTAGACTTTAAATTGGAGGTTATTATATAGAATGCAAACATCTATTATCTTTCAGATTGTAAAGTAGATATATGTAAATCAATTTTTGTAAGAACTCGGTGCTCTAGCAGCTTGTGAGCTTTATTATTATTTTTTTAATCTGATTAATCACATTTCATTTTACCTTCCATAATAAAATTAATTTAAATATTTTCTTTTTCTTATATATTTTGTATTTTGATTCTAAAACTGTTTACTATATGATTTGCTAATTATTTTGGAATTTTTAATCTGATTGATCTCGTCATAATTTAACTGCCACAGTAAATAATACGAAACTTGGAAAATTGTGCCATGAGAAACTGTTAAGAAATTGAAAGCAATTGAATCTCAGCAAAAGAATTTTTTACATATCTTTTTTGTTCTGCAACACTTCAAAAAACCATATATATAAAAACTTTGATTCAAAACATTAAAAAATTCCAATCTGCAAAATGTAGAAAATGTAGCTCCAGCGTTTTTTAGCCACATATTCCTTGAGTCCTAAAGTTCCGCATTTTTTTATTGTTGCCAAGATCATCTCTTCAAGCATGTCACACAAATCCAAGTTGTGTCTCTTTTTACTGCACGATGCTAATCAAATTTCGTTGGCACTGTTTCAGGCTACGCGGCCGCATCCCTGCTCGCGATTCTGTTCGCCATCCCCTTTGGTTTGCGTGTTGTGAGCCGTCGTGAGGCAGGTCAGTGGAGTAGTCTGCCGCAAGCCTTCTACCACGCTCACCTTGAACTCTTTCTCGGCAACGCCTGCTTAGGTGAGTAAACAGAAAACACACACACATGTGAATTTATTTGCATTTCCGCCGCCAAAGATAAACACTTACAACAACGGACAGACTACACCAAATAATTTATGAAACAAGGTCGCATAAACATACGCACGCATTCCGTCTCTGGGGAAAAAAAACAAACAACGTTCCATGGACGGACGTGAGTTTGGACTTTCCTTTTCTTAAGAAAAAAAATGTTGTAAATTAGGCTAGACTCGCGCCCCTGTCCTCATTAACAGAAATTGAGATCAGTTAGTGAGAAACGAATGTATAAAATATCTAGCATTAAAAACTTTTATTAATTAATTTTAGTTTTTTTCCCTCCAAACATTGGGCCTCTGTTATTTAGTCTCCATTAATAATTATTTTATCATTTAAAAGTCCATTATTTATTCCATCTTTATTTTTTTAACACCTGCATAAGTGATAGTTGATAGTTTTAAACTTGTGCAAAACACCGACAGGTTAAAAAAAAAAATATGTCAGTGACCGAGCCTATTTTGAAAACAACTTGACATACCCGTGTTCACATTGGCCATTGGCTGTGCAATTAATATCTTTTTGTAACGTATTTTGTGCGAAAATATCACACGTGCACGGGACTCGTTTTGCTGTTGACAAAAACAAATCATCTCGCCATTACTTTTTCCCCATTGCGCAAACAAAAGCGCTCGTAACTCGATAATGTCCGCGCTGAGGTTACGCCTGCAAAATAGAACATAATGATGCATGATGTGATGAAGTGGCGCGTTGGGTTACACTCTAGCGAGCTACTTTACTATTACATGCTGGCAATCACGTTCGAGTGGAGCAAATAAAACTGAAACCAACGGTGCTTCTTCATACCTATGGAAAGCGACAAAGTGCATGCCGATTCCGAAGCAAACTGCCATCAATATACACGTGTCAAGGAAAAATCTCTCCGTGGGGAGGAAACTAGGATCGTGCTGGGAGGAAAAGTGGATCGTTTTTTTAACTCTATCAAGGACTCGGCGCTGGACTGGAAATAATCCAATATTGACGAATTCACTGGAGATCTGATTGCTTGATGAATATTAACCCCCTGATATGGAAACAAGTTTTCATTTTTCCCTCTACCTTCTGATGGAATAATCCTATGAAGTTATAAAATTATTGATTAATGGAGGTAATCTAATAATTATTGCAGAACGGTATAAACAATTCCTAGGAAGAATCCATGAAGATTACAGACCTTGCTTACTCTTAATTTCCTCTGATAGCATGTTTTATTATTTATAGTTTTGTAAAATTGTAAATTATTTTAAATTAAAAGCAAAGAATTTATTTTAAAGCTAAAAACTTCAGAAAAAAATTAAAATAGAAAATTTACATAAAATATTAATTAATCATTAAAATGAAAAATAAGCTCTATAAGAATATTAACAAATGTTTTTACTATTTAAAACTTTTTGTATTTCTTAATAAATTGCATTCTAACTGCATAAATTTTAATATGAAACAGTTGCAATGACGTTTAAATTTGCTTTATCATATTAATTATTCCGACCTATTTGATCAACCTTAATTTTTTTATTTCTATTAATATTTAAAAAGATAACTCATTAATATCAGACCTGCATTTTAGTAATAAATCGTGTTTTCAAGGATTGTTATAAAATTTTAAGATAACATATATATTTTTTAATATTATTTAATCTAATTTTTCAAGCGGAAATTGTTCTCTATAAGAAGATTATATTTTAGAATTTTTTTATTTAAACATTGCTTACTTTTCCGATCTAACTTGCAGAAGGTAATTACTTCTTAAACTCTGGTTGAAACATTTTGTCTTACTCAGAAGCTTGCTTCCTTCTCAGCTATTATATTACCTCTGCAGTGCCAGATAAATAATCTCTTGGGCCCTAGTCTCCTGCCTTCCGCTATGGAACGCCTTTTTGCTTTTCTTATTTGGCTGCAGAGGCGAGATAAGCTTAGAATGAATTAGCCAAGTTGGCCGCCTCTTTTTGCCGGGCCATGAGAAATCGCACCTGATGTTGCGATAATATTTTCGCTCCAGCCTTTTTTGTTCCCGAGAGCAGCTGAGAGCAAAAACGAAAGAAAAGAATAACGCCTTTCAGCGTCTGTTTATGCAACCGGGGTGGAAGGCGCGTCCGGCAGGTTGCCTACCCACCAAATAACAGCAGCTTTCTCTCCTTTTTTTACGACGAGAGGACCAACGAGATGGGAGAAAAATCTTTTGTAGACACACAATGCTCGCAATGAAATTAATGATGATGTATCCTCGCATCATCCACACAGCGGGACATGACGAGCATTCATGCTTTGTGTCACGAGATATTGCCGATCCGTTGATGCTGCTGACAAGGTGGTGCTTTGAGAACGCGATAGGCTATTATGTAACGCTCGATGGAAAATGACAAGGACATCAAACGGTGAGAAAATGCATCGGAAAATCATCCGAATAGTGCTGAGCAGGCAGAAAAATTATGAGGTCATGAATATGCATTAGTGGGGTTGTTTTGCGCTCAATGACAAAGGGTGGCTGTTCTGGCGACGGAGATTGATGATGTATTGGATTTCCAAATATGTTTGTTCAGTGGGATTAATTTTGCTTCACAAATCACTCCGTCGTGCTGCAGTACGGTTATTTCATGGCATTGCCAGCATAGATAAACATAATCCAATTAATTTTCCTGTGTTAAATAAATAAAAAAAAATTGCATTACAGCAAAAAGAACAGCAAACAGTTGTTTGTTTATTATGACACATTTCAAACGCTTTTTGCCACATTTCATATAAAAAAAATCATGAATTTTTTTCATGATATGAAAGACTTAATTAAAAATCTCAAATCGCTAACTTCAACTAGGGGCATGGAATGTGAAAACAGAAAGAATCACACGGAAGTATGTCAAAATAATTGTTAAATTAAGATTATCAACCTTTTTACAATCAGAAATAATGTAAAAGAAGGAAATACGGGTTTTCCCATAAAAGTGAACATTTTTTACAGTAGATTAATGGATAAATGCGGTTCTACCTCTTCAAAGAGCCTTATTATTATGCCAAAGGTCTTTTACTTTTCCTCATTCGACTGCGCTTTTCTCCGGCAAAATGCACTTTTTTGCATATATAATTGAATGGAATGCTTGCCACTTTTTCATGCTAATGCGTTCAAAAGAGTCATGAGAAAGAGGTCGTGCAGTGAAACATTGCTGGTCTATATCTCTCTCGGTCAAACTGATTTGCATACCAACTCCATAGTATGGCTCGTTTTGCCCCAACTCGGATCGTGCATTTATTGTATGAAATTCGCTCGCTCTCTTTACCTCTGCATGTGTATTATTTTTATATTAAATAAAATACACACACCACATTGCAGATGATGCAGCGCAATAATAACCCGACCGTCATTTCATATTTATCCCCTTACACACGAACATGAAAGCAAAAATATTGCCACGGTTAAGTACATAGAAAGTAAAGCGCGTGTTATTTCTGCCACCGCTCGCACGCGTTAAAACCCATGAATAGCATTTCGCGCATGATAAACTTCACACGCGAATATGTTCGTGAAAATTACACTCTAATCATTAAATGTGCGAAATGAATTTTGTTTTGTGTTATCTGAGAGTAGCACATGGCGTAAAAACTACCCTGCTTTTATTTCGCTCGAATAATTAAACATTAAAAATCATTTAAATGCGCACGAGATTTTTGCGTTATTAATTTCGACAACGCCCTTGTGGGCAATTCTCCCTTAATCCGGCTCTGAAATTTAAATTCGTGGAATTTAATTAAATCCACCTGCCGGAGCTGAGAGCTTTGTTTCGTTTAAGCAACCCTCCCACACATCTGCAAATAGCCAGTAAAAACTTTTGCTATTGTTCACGAATTCCTGAGAAAGAAACAATGAATTCTTTGTGAATCTGGTTTTCCTCCGCTAATCTCATTTGCAGAACGGAAATTTTGCAATAATAGTGGTGCTTGAGAGTTTTATTGCGTATTTTATTTAAATCGTTCTTTGGATTAGTTTTTTCGGGTTTTTTTCTCTCCACGAGCACAATAATATTGCGATTTTTCTTTTCACGAGTCATTGAATGAGATAAATTTGGGTGATGCTGTTTCTTCTACGCACATTCTTACAAGGCAATAAAACTGGTCTGGCGAGAAGAATTTTTTGTGTGTCCGATCGTTTCTTTTGCTCTGCGGCAGTGCAATAATTTGAAGTACTTTACATGGTCCCTCGACTGAAGGAGACATGAAATAATGCGTGAAATAGAGCTGCCTGGAGCCGCTGCAAATCCCTTGCCAGCAGCAGCTGAGGGGCTATCAGACCGCAAACTTTGCTCATTTTTATTCTTTGTTTTTCTTTCATCAACTATGAGGGCAAAATCAATAAAGAGATGGCGAATCTCGAGGGCGTAACTCAAGAAAGAAAAATTCAATATGAAATAAATGCACGGACCGTTTGTGACTGCGCTTGGGAATGTGTGTTGATCTGTATGAAGAACCATTTGTCCAAAGTAAACACACTGCTCTCCAGAATTTATTGCGAGCTGTCACTTTCAACAACAATGAAAATATGTTTCTGTCTTATAAATTTATTCTTTCCATTCACTCTCTACGTAATTTTTCCATGAACCTTTTTTCTTGCTAGACTTGCTAGAGCTAGTCCTTAAATTTTCATAAAAAAAATATCAATTTTAAAAAAGATGAGCTAGCTAAAAAAAACTTCTTATATTTGATTTTTTTACCAAAGATTTTGTTGGAAAGAGGTGCAGTGGGTACCAAAAATATTAAAAATAAATTATATAATTATTAAAAAAAACATCAGTTTTTAAGTGTTTCTTTCCAGGTACAATTTATTGACATTAATTATTTTTAGTCCGTGGATTTATTTAATTTAAATAAACATGATATTTATAAATATAAACTGCCATTTCTATAATCATTTCCAGATCAGACATAAATCAACAAAGACATGTTTTTATCCTTTTTTCATTGAATTGTTATCCTTGTGATCAAATAATTTTGTGCAATAAATTAATACTTTTAAGAACATTTTTTATTTTTTTATTTTTAGTTTTTTGGCTCACAAAAAATATTAAACTTTTGCTTTATTTCATTTCAGGAGTTGGAGTGCTGATGCTGCTCGCCCTTACTATCGAGCGTTACGCCGCAGTTTGCCAGTTAAACGGCGGTTCCTCCCCGCACAGGGCTCGCACAGCGGTGGCCCTGATTCCGGTGCTCACCTTCCTCCTTTACCTCCCCAATGCGTTTCGCACTCACCTGACCAGGTGCGGCGCACCATACGGTCCTGAAGGCGAAATGACCGTCGTTTTCCAGCGAAGGGACAACATTAGATTTCTTCACTCGGCGTTTTATTCGATCTACAAAATTGCCCTGGAGATAATTTTCAAGGTTAGTAAAATTAAAATAAAATAAGTATCAAATTGATTGAAAAACAATTAGATGGAAGCACAGAGATTTAAAAATATTATTTTTATGATTTTTTTTAAATTCAAAATCAAGCAAGCTAATCAAAATTTTCCCTAAAAAGTTTGATTGGGTTTTTTCCATATAGTTTAATCTTTGAAGTACATTAAAGGCTTGATTAGAAATCAATTTTATTCGTAATATAAATAAATGAATGCGCTTGTAACTCTAACTATACGTGAAAGTTGAGTAGCTTTTGAATGTTTGAGAAGTGAACTACATTTTGTATTCATTTCATTCAAAAGTTCAAAACTGAAATTAGCTTTTTATACATTCAAACATGTCTAAATTTTCTGCCATACCCAGACACGAATAGTTTCATTTCTTGTGAAATAAATTCATTTTTACCAAAACTAGTCCTGCACAGACATGTTGTACACACAACCTAATTGAATGTGTACCTCACTTGAATTTAATTTTGATTAAAACAGATATTTCTGGTTAATCCTATGCAAATAGGCGCTGCTTGCTTAATGATCAAAGTTTGATTGAACGCGGCAAGGCAAAGTTTACAGTTGCTATTTTGTTATTTGATTCGGTGTACAAAGTTTATCCCGTTGAGGTTGCATGCAAATATCCCTCACATACAACAACTTTAGCTTGGAGGCGCACTTGTAAGCAAGGAGCACGCCACTTACTGATCAGCATACATTATAAATTCATACAATATCGAACATAATATGCTCCTCTATACCCAGCTCGAATTGCTTTTTGAATAGCCATTCTGATAAGCTGGGCCGGCCTAGTGTCAAGAAAAATATATTATATTCCCTTTTGTGAAAAAACACACAGCTCGTGCGAGATGCATCCAAGCATGACAGAATTATTGATAAGAAAAAAAGGGGGGTTGGAGAGAGATGCTTTGTTTATTTATGGACTCACAGATTCTCTGTTTATGTACCCTCTGTATAAACCAAAGCCTGATAAGGACCAAAAAAGTCTAAATATTTCCTTAGCGGCAGTCCCTCGCTAAAATAACGATATTCATTTCATGATCATCATCACTGATTGTGAGTTTTCAATATCATTTATTTTAATTATTCTGAAATTAAAAAGAAAACTGTGCTTAAGAAAGTATTTTTCTCGAGATATATCAATAAAAAAACTCAACTTTTCTTGTTATATGAAATTGAAAAAAACACAGTTATCGGCTAGATGGCTGGTTCCAACTTTGAACTCAATTTAATTGGGAAGAACTTAACGAAGGATAATAACTATAAAACTGTACAACATAAATACAATGTTAAAAAAGGTCAGTTTTTTGCTGGTATTGATAAAATTATTTTAAAAATTTGAGCAATTTTTCATGTTACCTATTTTTTTATAATTGAATTTCTCTATGATTTTAAAATATGGGAACCGAGCTGTTTTTTTCGTTTAATAAAGTGGAAAAGATGAAGTGCCCAATTCTGAATATCAACAAAAATCATATTATAAAGTATAAATTGTACATGACTTTATTCCAACATGCAAAATATTTTTTCATTTTTCTAGCAACTTGATAGTTTTGGATCTAAAACGCACTCTATTAGAGAAAATTAAAGGTTTGGTCTATTTACTTTTCGTTCCAGAAACATAGATTTATATACGCTTCTAACCTAACCTGCTTCTAACTATAGTATCAAATTCCAGTTTTATTACATGAACTGAATATTGTAAGTTATAGTATACGTTAGTGCAATACAAGCAAATTCGTCTATTAAAACGTTTTGCGTGAAAAATTTCCAAGCTTTCAAAACTGCTTCCAATTACAAAACTAGTTTGAATTTCCATAAGCACCAGTCTCTTGGTACGCAATGATAATTGAGTTTTCCTCCTTGCTTCGCATTTGTCCCCCCGCGACTTTCTAGGTCATTAGGCAGGTACTAGTGCGAAAGTAAGCAAGTTAATTGGATTTCCGCGTTTGCAGGTGGGACCAACGATTCTGCTCGCAGGGCTCAACGCTCGCATTTTAATTGTGTACCGGCGGTCGTGCGCCCGACGACGGAAAAGACGAGGCGCGTTGCTGGAATCGTGCAGACAGTACGCCGAGGAAAAGCGACTGGCGCTCTTGCTCGGCTCAACGTCGCTGCTTTTCTTCGCCTGCGTCTCGCCCATGGTGATCCTCAACGTCACCCTCTCTGAGCGCAATCTCAGCTCTTACAACTACCAGGTAATTGTTGCTGTCTGTGTGTATGAATGCGAGAGCACAACACAGTTTGCTCGCTGAGAAAGATGCTTTTAATTACGCTTGTCTTTTCCACTCGTTGAAGATGCGGCGCAATTTTCTCCAACAAAGGATGATTATAATGTTGTATTCCAATGCGTCTCTTCTTTGATGAGAAATTTTCTCTCATTTCTTCCAGTAAAATGCTCATTCAAAGGAATTGTTGAACATATTAATTCTTTATATATCTATTTCGTTTAATTGGAATTTATTGAAATTTAATAATGCCACATTATATAAAGAACTATTTAATTTTATGTAGAGGACAAAATTATTTTTGAAATTAAATGTAAAGCAATTTCACTGGCCTATATACTTTTAAGTTTTAAGGATTCTATAAAAATGCAATAAAATTTAATGTTAAAAGTTGATAACTATTTTTTATTTTAAAAATACAATATATTATTAAAATATATAGTCATAAAATTTATTTCTTTTCTAAAAAATTTAAATTTAATTAATTTACTTACATTTTTTACTAAATTATATATAATAATAATATTATTTTATTTGACAAGTATAATTACTTACATTCCGTTCAGTTTATAATTATTATTATATTTATTTTTTTTTTATTTTTTTTTTTGATCATATTTTTTATACTTTTGACTTTTCTTGGTAAAACTCAATACAAATTAATTTATGTACACAAAAATAATTGCCTCAGATTTTCTATTCCCCCTCTATATAACATATAATTTCCAATTTCAAGCTTTATGCTCATTATAATTATAATAAGAGAACTTAAATTTGAATAATATATTTACTTTCGTAGGCTGTAGGTTTATGGCTTATTATTTTCTCTCTTAATGAGTAATTTGAATTTGCCTAAATTTTTATTACATATCAAAAGCTGCACCCCACCCAAATTTTAAAGCAAATATTATCATGATATGCTTGCACTACATATCAGAAATGTAATTTGAGAAAAAAAAATCAATTTTCCAGATATTTAGGGCGATCGCCAATGTGTTAGAAGTTACCAATTATTCGTTGACCTTCTACATCTACTGCCTCTTCTCCGAGGATTTCCGCAGCACTCTTTTGAGAACGGTCAACTGGCCTTGGTGGGGCGGAAAAGCGCCTGCGAACGGCCTTGGTGTCGGACCCACCGCCAAAGGCCTCAAGGGTTCGCCCCCAATCACGCAGCAAACAACAGCCACCCCAACGCCACCCCGAGCGTGCACCCTCGCCTGCGCAACCTCCACTACAGGAGCAGCTACGACAGCAGTTTTAGCTGCAAATGGTAATTAATAGGTACTCTATAAAGACGATCACTTTTGTCTTGATGTGCTGCACTTTCTTTTTTAATTTGACCTTTATATGATTTGATTGCTTTTGTTCGGCTTTGGAAAGAACATGTAAATTTATCTATTTCAAAAATATTTATCTAAAAATTGGACAAAATATATTTTTTATTCTAAAATCACCTTTTAAATGAGAATAATAAAAAATTTCACCTATAAACAGATTTTTATTGGAAAAATTGAGCATTTACCAATTTTATCCAAAGTCAAGCTTGCCTTGCATATAATCAGTTAAAAACTAAATTCTGATTAATTGTTAATTTTTTTTGTCAGGTGCAAAAGAAGCTTCCTCGAGTGCGTTTCAAAAACTTTTCTGCGGCTGCTTGGGTATTCTTCCCTGCGTGAAAGATGGTGCCAGTCCTGCGGGCAGCTCTGCTGACCGAGTGATCGTCTGAGCATGAGCCTGTCGGTTTTCCAATTAGTTTTCCCCGAACAAAGAAACCGAGCCCGTAGTGCCCGTCTCAATTGAGGTGGAAAATGGGCTTCTCGTCGATGAGCAGTGCTGCAAAAAAGTGCCCCATTTATTGCCCAAACACAATAACACTTGCAATATGCAACCTTCACGACATTCCCACAAGTAAAATGCTGCAACATGCGATATTATATATATTTTCCACAATTGCTCTGTGAAGAATTGCATTAGTTGATGTGAACCATTATTGTACTCTACCCATGACATGTTTCGTAATGGAATTTTCACTATAGAATGTTGCATGAACCACCCTTGTTTTGACTCCTCCTCTTCTTATTACTTGGTTTCCCATTGTGTGAACTTTTCCCAACCTGCCTCCGTTTTCTTCTTCTTTTTTTACGCCTCGTCTCTCGATTCTGCAACTTCGTACACCACAGCAATGAGAAAAGAGAAGAAAATTACTTTAACCATACCTTTCCATGACAGTTCTTTCTTCTTTCCTTATTGTAAGTCTTGCGATTCAATTTTACCTCAGAGGCACTAGCACTTAAAAATTATTGCAAATCAGAATGCAAAAAACACACGCATTTCACCCAAACTGATTGGAAACAGCTATAAATATGTAAAAAGTGTGTCTTATTGTTTGGAAAAATGCGGTGTCTGTGTTCACTTTGGGAACAATGTCTGGACATAATTTATGAGGTATACTAAAAACTGAAATGCACAATTTATAAATGCAACTGATCGCGAAATTTAATTTTAATTACTTCTAGAAATGAAATGGTAAAAATAAAAATGTAATTACACAATTTTAAATCATGAAAACGAGTTGTTTGAGAATCCAAGATTCATTGAGTTGTTGATACTTTCACAATTTAAAACATCACTATTTATCACAAAAAGAGAAATATATTAAGCAAATGTTGGTGGCTTTGTGAGGAAACGGAGAAATTCCTAATTGTAGAAATCTGTCCATAACTAAGTGTCTTTGGTAGACGTGTTACTCAACTGAAATTTTTAAGCTCACCAAATTTACATCAGATCAATGTATTTAATTTTTTCTTCTATCAAATATTCAAAAGGTGATTTTTTTTAATTGCATCAAAACGTTAATTTTTTGAAAGTTTTATTGAGGTGGAGCTATTTAAGTTCTTCCACAATCACCCTATAATGCGCTATAATGTTTTAAAAACAGAAGTCACACAAGCTCAAAGAGAGAGAGGATTAATTAAAAAAAGGAAGCGGTGCTTTACATGTTCTCAAAATTTATATTTTGGCAAAAAAATAGTCACGTGAAAATTATACGTCTGGAAAGCAACAATATTTAAAAATAGTCTGAGGAAAAGAGAACAAAGGGAAAAGTTAAGACTGATAATTTTAAAAACAAAATATATACGCCTCGCTAAATTCAAAATCCATCACCATCAAAAATGTCACTTCAACTTTCAACCAACGATTCAAATTTTGGAATGAAAGGATTGTGCAGGAGTATAAAGTCAGCCTAAAAGTATTCCAATACTTGAAAGAAATTAAAAAATTTGTATTAGATATAAAAAAAAATTATTAGAATTGGCGTAATATTGATTAATTAAAATTTCTACCCTTTAAAATTTGCATTCGTATAACCTCTCGCTTTTATAGATGCATAGCTTAGAAAACTTTTCAAAATTTTTAAAACTTTAGCTCTATTAGATATATTATGTATTGGATAAGAATTTAAAATTAAAACTAAAAGCTTACAGCGTGCTTATTCCGCTTTTCAAAATGTCAAATTTCAAATTGGAAGCATGCAAAAATTGAAATGTGATTCTCAAAACGAATTATAGTGAGCTAGATTTGTGAGGCGTCGGCTTGAAAAAGGATCTGAAACGCTCTCTCACTGCGTCCAAAAGTGCGCGACTTTTAATCTGTAAAGGTGAAGAAGGCTGTTGTATGTGATGATTTGAAATTTTCATAAACACAACGCGCTGGTTCCAAAGTTTTAATTAATTTTAACGAAGATACATCTATATATTATACTACGTACATAATATATAATTATGCAGTTGTGCAAAGTAGCCGAATATTTAGTAGCGACGAAATCTAATCACTGTTATTGTTGTCTAACTGTTACAGAGGTATTTATGAAGAAAATAACAGCTATGCTAAATTTGGAAGTAAAAAAATCTGTCTGCAAATTAGTAAAACAAAAATGCCACTCTGTTTAATTAAAATTTGAAACAATCTGGATTAATAAAAACCGATAATTGTGCATGAAAATTATGTGAGACGTGTTTTATTTCTAATCAAAATTCCTTCAGTCACAACAAGTCTGTCATAAAATTTGTCATTAGCGCCCGAGGAATGTTAATTATCATTAATTGGCCAGACAATGGTAACCCCTGGCTCAGGCTCAAACTTTTAAATCACCCCAAGAGTAAAATAAACTTTACCAAGCGATAATTTCACGACAGACCACTTCAAAGCAAAAAGTATTAAAGAGTATGGACGGAGCCTCCGGTTTATATTTTTAGACTTAACCTCATAACGCCCGAGAGCCATATGGTCCCCAGATAATAAGACTGGCACCAAAATAGCGTCCTAGTATGGTGATAAATTGAGTTGCAGCTCTTGTACAAACAAATTCATAGGAAAAATAAACACGTCGGGAGTACGGCTACAAAGCTCCTTTTGTCTTTAGAAGGACTCTCGTCATATATAGGAGTCTCGTGCCTATTATTATTTATTTAGCATTTAGTAAAAAAAGAGTCGAATCAAAACTCTTCCGCCCTCGAAATTTAAAAAGGTAACCCTCAGCATTTTGGATGACATTTAACGCTCCGGAAAGCAAAGCGACGTCATTGTGCCGCTCATTGTTTTTCGCTCAAAAGCGTTTTTGACTCTCCGGCGGCGCGCGATGAATGGCTTTCGCTGTTTGACCTCCCATGCCCCCTTCGCGACGCGCCACACCTGCCGCCACGACTTGCTATGCGGCGCAGCATGCTTACAGGATGACTCCGTAGCCAACCAAACAGTATAAAACTTAAAACAGAATTCAATTAATTCAAGTTCATTTATCAAGTGAAAGCTCAATTTATTCAATCATGGAAACTTTTTTGATAAAACTCGAAATATTTATAGGAATTTTACGTGATTATAATTAGTTTTTCTTTGGATTTTAATAGCGTGGGTAGGGAAGAATGCAGCACGGTGATGTTGGCTGCCCTTCCGTCGTCGAACCGCGTTTGTAAACAGTTGTTTGGTTGGGATGAGTCGGAGACGATCGGCCTGGAAATTGTGAAAATTGACTGCATTTCGGTGCATTTTGGAGACTAGGAGGTGGACTATGTGCATCAGCGCCTTCTAGTGCGTAGGAAATGTGAGTATCCGCGAGTGGTGTTTAATTAAATTGGTAATTTGCATTAATTAGCCGAACGGCGGAGCGTTGAGTGTTTTCATTGGGCGTCGGCTTCGCGGCCAGCATTTTCTCATGCACGGACTCGAATGCTTATCGTTTTCTTAGATTTCGTGCCTTCTTCGGCCTCCGAGTTTCGCTATTTTGAATAATTTCCAAACAGGTGTGCTGGAAATTAATTTATTCTGCGTCATCTGATAAAAAATTCACCCCTAAAATCAGATTAAATTCTACGATCTAAATAATTGTATAAAATTTTCGCCAGAATTTCCGTCTCTTTTTGAACGCTTAACCAGACATAAATAATAAGGAATAAGAATTCGGAAGGGGTGCTGGAAATGCAGCCAAGTCAGCATCTCAGGAGACGGGAAAAAATGTATATTTTTACCCTCGTCGGTCTGATGTTATTTTTTAAGGGAAAGAGCGGCAGTCGGGTCATAAAACGAAAGTGATTGTGCTCAAATTAAGCGTTTTATTACCGCCGCCGCCGCCGATAGACAAACCTTAAAAGTACTCCTCGTCATTCTCCACATATAGACTCGCGTGTTATTGAGTGATCTTCTCGGAAGCAAACAACTTCCTCCCTCGATAGCCGCGGCAAAACAATGGCACGGCACACACCCCTGAATTAGTGCGAAACGCGATCCGTGTATCAATCGACAGCTCGGAAACCCGAGACCTTGGCCAATATTTGCCTGCAATGCACCTTCCTTCCTTCTTTGTTCCTTCCCCAATGCACACCCACAACAACAGTGTCTTAACTTTGCTCGTCCCCTCATTGTTATGGGCTAACAGATAATAAAGTTGCGCCCTTCAATGTAAGTCTCGAAGTCGGTAAACATTAGTGACTTTCGTGTCACTTCTCCTGAAGAACTTTCGAAAGATCAATTTTCTAAGGAAATCTCACAAAAATTTGATGTTAATTTGTTTTGAGTAAATTTTATCCTAGAAGAAAACTATTGCCATATCTTTATAATGTTTTGTAGTGGATTTATTATTTATATTTCAAATTTTTGCATAAAAATATTTATTGTATGAAGTATTCAATTTTTTTACACAAAAAAGTATTGCAAATACCTTAAAAAAAATATCCTTTCTTAATTCTAAATTTCATTTGTAATATTTCATTTTATTTACAAATTTATTCCGAGGTAAATTTATGACCTTTAACATAGTGTAAATATTTTTTTTATGAAATGAAATCAGGCTTCCTCGGCGAAGATGAGCAACTTTATTGATTCTGCATGAGATAGAAGACACCTGCTCCCATGCAGAAACAATCAAGTGGCTCATCTTTGTCTATTGCCGAGGAAGCTGGATTTTATCTAATAAAAAATAAAAAGGTTCCACAACGACTTGAAGAATCCCGTAAATAATTATTTTTTTCAAATATTTTTTGCCTGAAATAAACTTTTATTTTAAAAATTTGCAATTTTGTGATTCAAAATTATTGAAATGCAAATTACTTTTTTTTCATTTCGATTAAATCATCAATAAACGTTTCTTTAATTTTCTTATTTCTAAGTATATATCCAAAAATCCGATGCCAGTACTTTTCTCTGCTCCTATTCTAAAACAATTCTCATTTAAAATAAAAAAGTTCCAATATTATTCCCTGAATTGTCTTTTGTGCTCCACGCCATTTCACCCCTATCAAATTAGTCATCGTTTGCCCCATTTTTTATACGATTTTTATTTTATTTTTTTTTTATTGCCATCGCGTTTCAGCAAATTGCGTGTCGGCGAATCATAAAATTTGGAACGTATGATGCGTTAAATCGATTTCAGTTTGCAAACAAACGAACGAGCAGCACCGCGACTGCCTTTTATTTAATTTGTGCCAAACTGAAAAAAAACGCGATCGGTTCTCACGGCAAAGCGATAAGTCGGAGGCGTTCGAGTGCGGGTGTTTTAAAATGGAAAATTACCCGTCTCGAAGGGCAGCAATATTGCTTGCGACTTGAGTCGTGAAGGGGCAAAAACGCGTCTGTGCACTCAAAGCAGATGGCCCTTTTCACGACTGTCGCTCCTTCATCCGCCCGCCGCCGTGTTAAGTTTATAAAACTGCTCAAGCCACTTGAACTATTAGCCGATTACAACGCTCATTTCGCCTTCAAAGAACATATGAGCGAAACGCACCGTTTCCAGCTGGCACATATTTTGAAGTTAAATTTATTTATTTTTTAATATTGAATGAATTTAAAAAAAAAATTGTTATTGAATATCACCGTTTTGCACATTATAATAATTATTTGGTATTTTTTTTGCCATTAATTTACTATTTTACTAATTTAAACAGAGAATTTTATGAATACTTCAATTAATTATTGATGCATAGCATCAATTGTATTAGTGGTCAGTTTATGGGAATCAGTTCGTTGAAACTTTTTGTGGGTTTTTTTTTTAAAGAAATTTATTTTTGTTTATTTCCTTTTAAATTAAAGGCTTCTTAAATGTAAGTGTCTCCCCAGCATATGAATTTAATGAAATTTTTTTATTGATCATCAATTCAATTTCCACATCATTATATTTCAAACTCTGAATTCTTTAGGTATGATTTCCAAGCACTACTTGTAAGATCAACTCCAATTTTCAACAATTGCTTATCTTTCAGTTTAAACCAAATTTCATAAATCTCATCTTTTTGCAATTTAAACAATAAAGATAAATTTTACAACTTCCAAACACAAATACATTTATTCTAGCATATACATCGTTTGAGACGATTAATCCACCTCGGAAAGCAGCTGTCAGCGTTTAAAAAAGCCCTCGGAGTATTTTTTCAGTTGACGCAGCTGCGGAATTTTTTAAGAATTTTAAAACGTTTTTAAAAGCACGCGTACACTTCTGGTGCTGATAAAAAAAAAAAAAAAGGAGGAGGACCCACCTTCCTTCCTTCCCCACTCGGAACATAAATTCGTCAAAATAGAGCGGCTGATTCACGACATCTGCCATTTTGAATAAATCATCCTTTTTAATCAAAACAAAAACGCAAATCCGACCGTCGGGGGGTTGATGGCGAAAATCAACCCCCTATCGGGAGGAAAACGGCGCCGACAGGTGAATCGTTTTCGTCGTTCTGAAAGTGAATGGACCATTAATTAGAGGCGCAAGTGCTCTTTTGATTATCTTGGAGTGATAATCAGTCTGTTCTTGTGTCCGTCTGCGCTTCCGTTTGTCTCCCCCGCACGATGGCTAACTCGATCGAGGGGCTAATCCAATCCTCCTCCCCCACACCACGTGTTCCGAGCTCCATCCAGTCCCCCTTTACAGCCCTCTATCTGCACTGCACCGTTGTTTTCGGTACCCTCGGCGGAGCGAGATATTTATAAAGTAGCGTACACACGGTTTGCTTGCTGTTCCTGCCGCGGCATAACATTATCCCCGGCATTATTATTTGCCTGGCACTGGCTGGCATTTGCTTATAATAATCGTTCCGCGCCCGAACACACGCAGCCAGTCTCGGTCGCGCCGCGGAGACGGCCACAGATTCTCGCGTCTCTCCCGCATCGATTTTGCCCGCTCGTGTGTGGTTTTGATCAGAAATCAGTGCGGAAACTGCTTCCATCCGCCTTCTCATCAATTAATCAGCGGGTTGCGTGACCGGACTGGCGAGCAGCCGCGAATGGCCGGTCGCGAGTGACTTGTTCGTGTCGCCGGGTGGGAAAATTGGCCAAGGGTGAGTGAGTGCCGGCATTTCCGCAATGACGCCTAGAAAATTTTCGCAGGGTGTTTATATTGCTGAGGTTTTATGCTTCGTCTGAGATTGCTTGAATTTTCCCCAATAATGTGCAGCGATAAAATATACAGGAGCTTTTTTTTACTTGAATTTTTAGGTTTTGGCTGTAATTGTGCTTCATCAATTCTTAAATATTGTTGGCACAATTTTTCATGAATTTAGCCTGTTTTCCCAAAACTTTAAGTATTAAATTTCAACACCCACTAAGGAAGTTGTGATTTTGATAATTTCTCATACAAAGTTTGTATTTTTATTTTTTTTATTTGTCCTTCAAATCACACTATTTACATTATATTTTTGACGAAAACAATTTCCTTCAAAAAGAAATTTTTTGACAAAATGGCATTAAACAGCAATAATTATGCTAAAACTTTGGATATTAATGCATTTAAGAGTGAAATTTGAAATCTGAAGGTAAAAATTTAAGACTTTATAATGTGATGTGCGATTTTTTACAATTTCATTATTTTTGTAACAGTAAATTGTTGTCTTTTGACTAAATTAGATTAGATTAAATGCTCTTAATCAATTTGGTCTTAGTTTCAACAATTACACCAGCATGGGATGATATTTTTTTAATTTATAAAATATTAGCAATTCTTCACAAATATGATCAGAAAGACCGAATATTTTATTATAAATTTCAACAAATTAAAAAAAAAATCTTATGGAGATAAATAGATGTATTGATTTAAGGATGCTAAATGCAAATTATAAAGGAAAACGCTATCGATCTATGTCTTTCAAAGTCAAGTTCATTAAATCTCGCTGATTTTCCATTTCTTTGGCTGATCGAAATCAGTCTAAAGAAAAACAAAAAGCATAAACAGTTACCATGGCTTCAGAGCTGCCTTTAAAATTATCAAGCCTCAATTTCGTCTCCGAAGCCTCATCCGTGCTCTTCTTGGCACAGTTTTTCTTCCATTATGATAAAATTTATTGCTGCTTGAATTAATCAATTAAATTCGAATAAAACTAACCAAATTGGCAGATAAAATCAAAAGCAGCTTCATCAGACGCAATAAATTAATTAAGAAAATGACCAGTTCGGCGCTCAATGCAATTAGTGCGGCAGCCAAAAACAAACATTCAATTGCTCTTCAACTGGTCAAAGACTATAATCCTCCTGAGCAGTCGTCCAAATTTCACGGCGATGAAACAAAAGAGTTGGAAGCCGAAAAAGTGTGTCGCGAGATGAGAACAGTCGAGAAAGGCTTCCCTGGTTTTTTTTAGAAGGGGCGTGAAGCAATTTTTAAAATATTATGTACCTTTCCCCAACCGCACAATAATGATCAGGGGAAACGTCTGCATCACAAAAGTTTTGATAAAACAATTAGCTGAGCCTCGCGTGCCGCGCCAGAGGGTGGGACCGGCTCAAGTGCGAGCAATTACTCATAAACAAGGCCGCCGACGCTCGAATTGAAAACAACAATAATTCACCGCCGTTCCCGCTCTGAAACTTATTAATTATAAAACTTCGATACTTTTCTCAGACACGCAACCTTTTCCGTTTGTTTTCCATTTCGACCAAACTTTTTGTTTTCAAGTTTTTCAACTTTTGATTTTTACTTTTCGCAGATCTCAGCACAATGAATATCGCGTTTGCACCTTTAGCGATCTTGCTGCTCTTTTTGGGCCCAGCAGTGGCGCAACGGCAGAATCAGAACCAGCAGCAGAATCAAAGAATTCCTGTGATTGACACACCTCTGTATCAGCAAGAGGACACCTCGCGAAACAACGTGGACAGCAACAACCTCCACGTTGAAGATGCGTAAGTAGTCTTATCATTAATTTGGAATATAATTATATAATATTTTAATTCATTTTATTTGTTTTATTCCATTTTATAAATAAAAGTTTTTCTATTAATTCAATTTCTAGAAAAATCCAATGAAATGATTCAATTCATTCTAATGTGCAATTTTTAACAGGAAACATAATCAACATGGTATAAATCCAAGTAATTTTTTTTAATCATTTATCATTTTTAACACTTCTGTAGTTGTAAAAAAGAGATATTTGCATCTCACAAAGAAGATATATCGGTGAGAAAGTCTGTCAATGTGTGTATTTACTATTTCAAGCTTGTTTTCAGAAGTTTACAAACAATATCATTTCTGTCTTTGAACACAACGTACAAAGTTGTAAAACATCTTTCCATCCATTCATTTTACTAGGCGTTAGTTTCACATTTTTCTCTTTTGGCTCTTTTCCAGGAGTTACTTCATAGTGGCCAGCAAAATTGTGCGTCCAGGCCAGTTGTACCGCGTGGCCGTGACCATCATGCGCAGCAACCTGCCCGTCACTGTCAAGGCCACAATTCAGCGCAATGGCGTTGAAGTGGCCGCCGCTAGACAAATAGCTGCCCTTGGAGTGACCGAGACCCTGACCCTGAAGGTCCCTCCGACCAGCGTCAAGGGTCACTATAGACTGAGAATTGAAGGCATCTTGGACGACATGTTGGGCGGAATCTTCTTCCAAAACGACACGCAGCTCCAGTTCTCGCCCAGGTCGATGACTATTTTCGTTCAGACTGACAAGCCTGTCTACGTCCAGGGCCAAACAGGTAAGATGGTTAGACGTTTTCCCCATTTATTGCTCATGATTGATGCTTTTAGTTCGGTTCCGCACTGTGCCAATCACAACTGAATTGAAGGCTTTCAACGATGCTGTTGATGTGTTCATGCTCGACCCTCACAGGACCATCATGAAACGATGGTTGTCAAGACAGGTATTGAAATCAATATTTTTTTATTATTCCCCTGATTTTGAATCATTAAGTCATTTTCTTAATTAAAATTTAATAAAAATTTTCAGTCCAACTTGGGAACTGTGAGCTTGAACTACCAACTGAGCGACCAGCCTGTCTTTGGCGAATGGACCATTCGTGTGGAAGCGCAAGGCATGATTGAAGAAGCAAGTTTCACCGTCCTGGAGTACTACCAGACTCGCTTTGAAGTCAACGTCACCATGCCTGCCTTTTTCCTCGAGTCGGATGGCTACATTTATGGCACTGTCATGGCCAACTACACAAGCGGAGCTCCTGTCTACGGCAACCTCACCCTGAAAGCCACCATCACACCGATCTCACCTCAAGGTCTGCCAAGACAAAGGGAGTTCAATACCACAAGAGACACCCCAGGCTACAGAGTTTTCAGAGAGCAACAAGCCGTTGAAAAGTTTTTCACTTTCGTAAGTGTTGTTTATTTCTTGTTAAATAAAAAGCACCTAATTTGGAAGTAGTTTGAACATATTGCTGATTGCACATTACTATTGCTTGCTATTGTAGAAGGAGGATTTCCCGTTCTGGTACGACACTCCTGCATTCATTGATGATGAAAGAGAAGTTCCTCAGCTCAAACACGTAAGTTTAAATGTTAATTGCTAAATGAATGATTTGCATGTTCTTAATTCTAAATAACTTAAAATAAAATTTTCAAATTATAAAGTTCAATCTTTTAAAACTTCTTTAAATTCAGTTTTACGGAATCCATCACTTCCGTTACCCTCTGGCTGACTTGTCGAGATTTGTCTCTTCGCTGTCGGGTATGGAGATCCGTGTGACAGCATCTGTTGGTGAGCGATTCCTTGATGAAATTGTGACTGGATACTCAACTGCCAGGATCTACAACACAACCCTCAAGGTTGCCTTCTTGGGAGGTAGCCCGCAAGTTTTCAGACCATCCATGCCATTCCACTGCTACGTAAGTTTTCATCAAGTTGTTGAGAATATTTTTTAATTTTAACTTCCATTAAATAAAAGGTTGCTGTGTCCTACCACGACAACTCTCCACTTGACATTGAAAGATTAAAAAAGAGCAAAATGGAAATCAGCGCTGAGGTTGTGATGAGAACCGGCGGAAGAAGAAACATAGACACACAGCTGGTGAAGATGTCTGCTGAAAATCCAGGAATTTACGCTTTGAAGATTGACTTGCGGTCTCAACTTGGTGAGTTAAGCTGCTTTTGTAATTGAATGAGATCTGAAATATAAATTCAAATAAAAGGTGGTGAAGAAGCAGCCGAGAGACGTATCAGAGAGATGCTGAATGATGTGGCTAGTTTAAAACTCACAGCAAACTTCAAAGATTCGAAGGATGGCTTCCGAACAACTGCCGAACTCACAGCTGTCAGTCATTGGTCCCCAAACAACCAGCACCTGAAAGTTTACACTTCCACAAAGCACGCAAGGGTGTGTTATTATTGTAAATACCCAATTTTTTTTTACTTATCTTAAATTACTACTTAAAGGTTGGTGAATACTTGATTCTGCACGTCCAGAGCAATGCCATTCTGGATAGCTTCTCATATGTTGTGCTGGCCAAAGGATTGGTTTTGTACGCTGGTCAGGAGAAAATGTTTTCCACCGTCCACACCATGGCATTGACATTGAGTCCAGAAATGGCGCCAGCAGCCACTGTCATTGTCTATCACCCTGCAAGCAGAGGTGTTGCCCTTGCAGATACACTGACGTTCCCTGTCGATGGAATTTCCAGGAACAACGTGAGATCATTTTCTGGTTTATTTTTGTCCTTATAACTAACCATTATCTTTTAGTTCACCGTTCTCATCAACAACCGCAAAGCTCGAACCGGACAAGTTGTTGAGGTTGCCATTTACGGAGAGCCTGGAGCATATGTTGGCCTTGCTGGAATGGACAGAGCATTCTACACAATGCAAGCTCCAAATCAGATTTCTCTGACAAAGGTTAGTTGGAAATTAAAAACAAGATTTTCAGCAAATATTGCTTTCCAATTGTAATTTATGCAGGAAAGTTATTTACTAAAAAAAAATCCTATCCTGTTTATATGACTTTTTAATTGACGTTCCATTATTTTTCAGTCTTTGCAACAGATGTCTTTGTTTGATTTGGAGTTGGAAGGCACAAGCCCAATGCTTCACAATTGGGTATCTCACGAAGGCAACCCTGATCAGCTGCACCACTTCCCAGCTGGCTCAAGAGGAATTGATGCCAATGCCACATTTGAGTAAGTTTCATAACTAAAAATTGAAAGTTAAATTTATTTTTCAAACTTTCTACAGATTGGCTGGGCTGGTTGTTTTCTCGGACCGAGCACTCCCTGCCAGACCCTCTCAATGTAACATAACTCAAGGTTTCCGTCCTTGTCTGACGGGTTCCAGTGGCCGATCGTCTGGCTGCTACAAAATCAGCCAAAAGTGTGACGGCCGAATGGACTGCCCAGATGGAACTGACGAGTCATTCTGTCCAAAACTTGTTGCCAACGCAGCTGAAGATTTGAGGAAGTTCAGGGCTAACAGATTCAGCATGACTCAAAAGCAGTTGGACAATGTGTGGGTTTGGACTGACGTCAACATTGGGCCACACGGAAGAGTGCTCTTCAACATCCCTGTCCCATCTGTTCCCGCCCACTGGATGGTTTCAGCGTTTGGTGTTAGCCCCACAGTTGGCTATGGTGTCCTGGCAAAGGCTGTAGAGGTAATTTTTCCAATAAATCAAAAATTGGCAGTAAATTTATAAAAATCCAAGATTGTCAACAAATCCTCGTTCCAACTTCACACCATCTTTTATGCTTAGATTATTTCCTGGAATTTGCCTAATAATTGAAATCAACTTTTTCAGTATGTCGGAGTTGTTCCCTTTTCTATGATTGTCGAAATGCCAAAGCAATGTCGCCAAGGAGAGCAAGTTGGTGTGCGAGTGGCAGTTTTCAACTATCAGTCGGTGGACATTGAAGCCACAGTTGTCCTTAGTACTTCCCCTGACTACAAATTTGTTCATGTTGAAGCCAATGGAATTGTAAGATATTGTTATAAATATGTTGGTTTATATTTTAATTTTTGCTCCTGTCTTAGGTGAATTCCTACAGCCCAAGAACTTCCCACGGAGATCATCAGTTCTTTGTCTACATCAAAGCCCACGATGCAGCTATTGTAATGGTGCCGATTGTGCCAACCAGACTAGGTGACATCGAAGTCACCATTCACGCCACTACTCTGATGGGCATGGACAAAGTGACACGGAAACTCCACGTAGAGGCTGACGGTCTTCCTCAGTACAGGCACCACTCAATTTTGCTCGACTTGAGCAACCGAGCCTACGTTTTCCAATACCTGCATGTCAACGTCACCGAGACCCCCATTATTCCCTATGAAGAGACACGCTACTACATTTTTGGTTCAAACAAAGCTACAGTCTCGGTGGTTGGAGATGTCGTCGGACCGATCTTCCCCACAATGCCTTTGAATGCCACCTCCCTTCTCAACCTGCCCATGGACTCTGCCGAGCAAAGCATGTTTGGTTTTGCTGCTAACTTGTACACCACGATGTACATGAGGTTGATCAACCAAAGAAACAAAACTCTGGAAAAGCAGTCCTTCCATTTCTTGAATGTTGGATACCAACGACAACTTTCGTTCAGAGGTGCAGATGGGTCTTTCAGCCTCTTCAGATCAGACTGGTTTGTTAACAACTAGGTTAAATATGATTTTTATGTAAATGATTCATCTACAGGAACCATTCGTCACCAAGTGTGTGGCTCACTTCCTATTGTGCCAGAGTTTTCCAGGAGGCCACTTTCCAAGAGTGGGAAAATTTCATCTTCATTGACCCTGTCGTAAGTTTGAAAAATATATCATTATTAATTTCCATTAAATCAATATTGTATAGGTCATCAGTGACGCCGTCCGCTATGTCTTGGACCACCAAACAGTTGAAGGCTCATTCTGGGAAGTGACTTGGTTGCCGGATCGCAAGGCAAATGCAACTTTGCAATGGCCAGGAGCAGACGTTATCGCCCAAAGGAACATCACACTCACTGCTCATGTATTGATCATGTTGGACACTGTGAAAGAACTGCCAGGCGTAACTTTTATTTTCAATTAAAACTGCTTATTTTTAAAACTTAAATTTCTATTAGGGTCTTGGTGCAAGAGCGTCCCTAGCGCAAAGAAATGCAGTTCAGTGGCTGGAAAGAAATCTGAATTTGCTGCATGAACATGGAAAACCATATGAAGTTGCCCTCGTTGCCTACGCCCTCATGCTATCAAAGGCATCACAGGCAGAAGCTGCTTTCGGAATTCTATCTCGACACGCTCGTACTGCTGGTAAAATATTTATAAGTATTCTTTTTTTCAATGTGCTACAAATTAAAATATTTTAGGCGGTTTGAAATACTGGGGTAGAGAAGATGTTCCTCTGCCACCGCAGAAGATGGAAAATCAGAAGCCGTTCTTGCTCCCGCGCCTCCCTTACAAGTATGATTCTGAAAACATTGAAACCACTGCATATGCCCTGCTCACCTATGTGGCAAGACAAGAGCTCTTTGTAGACCCAATTGTCAAGTGGCTTAACTCTCAGAGACTGTATGATGGTGGCTGGACTTCTACTCAGGTTCGATTTCTTTAGAAAAAAAAATGTGTCAGATTACTGATTGATTTTTACAGGACACTGCTGTGGCGATGAAGGCCTTGATTGAATATACTGTGCGCTCTCGGCTGAGAGATGTGTCAACACTGACCGTAACTGTTGAAGCCACTGCCCTTTCTGGGCAAACCAAAATCCTTAAAGTCACAGAGAACAACATTGCCAACCTCCAGAAAATTGAAGTAATTTACACCATTTATTAAATTTGTTATCCATCATAAATTAATTTTTTTCCTTAGATTCCTGAAGCATGGGGTACTGTGAAGGTTCAGGCTAAGGGTGCTGGTTACGCCATTCTGCAAATGAGCGTCCAGTACAATGTGGACTTGCAAAGGTTCCAAACTGCACCTCCCGTTAAAGCCTTCGACCTCAACACTCGTGTTCAGTTCCATGGTCGGAACCAGTCTCACATCACTTACAAGTGCTGCCAGAAATGGACTCATTTGTCGGAAAGCCCCAGATCTGGCTTGGCTGTCCTTGAGGTCGCTGTTCCCACTGGTTACATCATCCAGCAGCAGAATCTGGACGCCTACGTCCAGTGGCTCGCACTGGAGGCCAAGAGAGAACACTTCCAGTCCAATTTGAGACCGATCGGCAGAGGACATCAACCCAAGGAACTGCAATCACACAGACTGCAAAGGGCCAGGTTCACAGACACCAAGGTCTACTTCTACTTTGACTATGTAAGAAACTTTTAATTTTAATTGTATTACCTAAACTATTTTTTCCTTTTCTTATAAATTGCAGCTCGACAACCATGAAACTTGCATCAACTTCACTCTTGAGAGGTGGTTCCCTGTGGCAAACATGTCCAGGTATTTGCCAATCAAAGTGTATGACTACTATGCTCCTGGTAAGTTAGCGAAGATTGCTTTTTTTCTTTTTTTAATATATTAAACTTATGCAGAGCGGTTCAACGAAACCATCTTTGATGCCCTGCCAACCTACGTGCTCAACATCTGCGAAGTTTGTGCTTCGAGTCAGTGTCCCTACTGCCCGATTTACAACGCAGCCGTGCATCTGGCCACCAGCCTTCCATTCATCGCTCTCCTCTCATTCTGCTTACTGCTGATTTGGAAGACCAGAGATCCCCTCTGAGTTCTCTGGTGGATTTAGTATGTTTCTCCATCGGGAGGCAGGGTGACCTCGTTCATTATTTTTGTAATCCATTTTACAAGCGAATTTATTATTTCGTCCAATTTGTGACCTCTGGTTGTGTTATGCAGCTACATTTTTAACAGTTATTTTTTTTGTTTATATTGCCCTGCATCTCGACATTTTTATGAAGCAAAAGTGGAAGCAGCTGCCTTGATAATTCTTATCAAATCATGTATTTTGGAGGTGTCTTATCACAACGTCAATTTAGCATAATATTCAGGATTTTGTATAGTCATATGAGTTGTTGTTTTCACTATTATTTTGCAATATCTTGTGATATTCAGCAGTTCTCATTGTGGAAACGTTGATTTGGCTCCGCAGCCGTTTTGTAAAAATTCTATACAATTTTCAGAAATGGTATTTGGTGCAAAATTTAGAATCTAAATTGGTTCATTTTAGTGCAGAACATGGCATTTTGATTGCATTTTGAAACATTAATGCCAACTTGGTGACGCCAAAAATTTTTATTACTAAAATTTGTCTTAAATTAACACATACTCAGGGACTTCAAATGGTGTATTTCGTCCCGCATTCAGACTCAAAATTTTAACCACGTACCGAGCCAATCTTGGACGTAACGACAGAAAGCAATATTGAATACTTAGAAATGTATTAACATAGAGAGATTTTTAGAAAGTTTGGAGGAGGATATCAGAATCTTGTAATTTTAGTCGACATTTTTAACTTGACCGTCCATTTTGAGTGCAAGAGGAATTCCCAGCTTCAGAAGCAAATTTTAAATAACCCGTCGAGACTCATTAATCCTTAAAAAGCTTTGCAAATGATCTTTGAAAGTTGGAATTATCTTCTTGTACTTTAGTCGCCATCAAGTACTCTATCTGCATATGTAGAGATATTGATAATTATTTGCAAACGTGTACATTTTGTCACACACGACTAACATTTACCTCCATTGTAAGATATTACCCATAAGTTTGTTGACTCTTTAGGACTTTATTTACACAATTTCAATGACTAGGCCTTTCTATTAATAGATTAACTTCTAATTTACCACCGCGGATGAGACTATTTGAATGAATGCATCTATAATTAAATTGGTTATTCTTAAAGACAAAGAAAAAAGCTAATATCCGAGGCGAAATTGCTCAACGTGTTCAAAAATGACTAGGATTAAAATTGTTGCTCTGTTTTCAAATCAATTGTAGTTTGCATCCAGATTATAAATATGAATTGAAATAAATTTTCTAAATAAAAATTGTGATCCTTTATTTTTAAATATTACCTGAATTAATGTCAAGCTTCCTTAAAAAACTAATACCCCTATGGTTTCTTATTTATGCAACCTGTTTGTCAGCTTTGCAAAGCAGGCTGCGTGCTATTTATCTGTCGGCGCAAAAGGCTAAGATTTTTAGCTGCATGTATTAAATTTTCTCCCCCTGCTTCATGAAAGTTTATTACCGTGTATGATTCAGTGCGCCAAAATGAATTTCAGAACGCAACACCACTCCCTTCCCTTCTTCAACTCGTCATTTGGCATAAAGGCGTACTGATTACAATGCTGCACTTCCGCAGCACACTTAAAGATGTACTCAAATATTTTGTACGAAACGCACGCTCCTCTTTTGTAAGCAATATAAAATGAAGCCGTTCTTCTTAAAAGGGGCCCTGACAGAGCATCTCTGATCAGCCCTATGTAAGATATAAAATATTTAAAAAAAAAATCATTAAATTCAATAGAGCCCAATTTAAAGTGACAAATAGAAGAGATAGGAGACCGAGAGTATTTTTATCATTCTAATTTACAATAACTTAGAAGTGTCTCACTCTATATTCCACGTAAATTTATTTGATTTCAGTTTAATTCTTCTAGGTTCATCTTCATGTCTCATTATCGGGTAGAATGAAATTTAATAATAATATTGATTTAGTTATACAGCAGCTAAGATTAAAAATATTAAGTTGACACAAGGTTAAGATTTATTAACGGATCATGCAACACTCTGGCATTGCTCAATATAATTTTTACATTATATTTTACAATTTTTATGGTTTCAATTTTCAATTATTGTAAATAATATATAATGTGGTAATATAGTATATACCAAATTTCTGTTACTTTCAGCAAGTGAGATTTATTTTCACCAGAATGAACAATTACAACAAGTGGGAGAAAACCAAATGTTAGTTTTCTTTTAAATGGCTAAATTAGGTTTGGGCCATTTTGGCGAGACATTTGCAGTGAGCAATGTAGTCAGCTCATTGTAGACTTTGGCCCCCACAAAGCACCTGACAGATTTTAACTTGCGGCAATTCTTCACTATGTCTGAAATGAGTTCATTGTGCACATCAAACTCTTTTGGAGCTTTGAAAGCAAACAGTGTATGCAGCTCAACTAGGTCTTGCAAATACGGCTCGGCAGTATCAATGATGGCCAACGGATCAGTGAAATAGAAATCGTCCAGGTGGACAATTTGCAACTGTGGCGCTAACAGGAGCTCCCAAAACAGCATCTCAGAGTTGGTGTCGCTCAGGAATGAGTAGCATCCGTCTAGGCAGAGTTCCTTCAGTTTCAACTTCTTTGGGTTGATGGAATATTGTTGGTTCTCCTTTCTGAAGGCAGATTCCACCTCCAACTTTTCCAAGTTGGGACAGAAGTCAAGCACTTGGAAAAGGTCAATGTCTCTAATGCTGGATCCTATCAGATTGAGCTCCTCCAGCCTCAAGCCAACAAGTTCAAGTGTATTGAGTAGGTAACCTCTGTAGGGTTCATGAATGCTGAGGGATTTCAGAAGAGGAAGTTGGTCCAAAATTTGAGGAGTCAAGTCAGTCACATTATTGTGTATGCATTCAACGTGGACCTCTTTCAACTGCCTCAGGTGAGAAGGAATTCTGAAAATAAATAATTTTTTTTTTTTAAAGATACTAAAAATATCTCAACAAAAGATGCAAGCTCTCACTTAGCAAGACAACCGCCAACCTTGGCGAGCTGCTCCAAGTTGTAAGGCTGCGGAGGATTAATTGGAATGTCGAAGAAGGGTCTACCATAGCCTCGGGCAAAGAAATGACGGATCTTCCCATCTAAAACATTATAAATGATTATACTAATCAGAGTTGACAATTATAATTAGATCCTTCCTAAAGCAAAAGGCAGGAAACTTGTAAAAAAAAACTGTGCGTTTATTAAAAAATGTCAAATTTGTGATTAGAAAATAATATTACCAAATTCCAAATCTGAGATTATTTTTAGTTTTGGCATCATCTCAAAAGCAGATTGGATGGTGGCGTGATTCTTCTTGATGTAACCTGTATATTCCTTGCCAATGCAAATTTCCTCCAGGTAAGGAAGAGCGTTGAGGGTCTCAAGGCCTTTGACTGTCAGCTCTCGCGACTTCATCAGAGTGATTTTCTCCAAATTCGGACAGCTTGTGGTCAGCTTGTGCAAGTCAGCTGAAAAAAAAACAATTATTTTATCATTAATTGTTATTATTCTTTTTTATGAAACCATTTACCATCGGAGAATTTCACAGTAGTGAGGTTTAGGTTCTTGAGGTTTGGAAATTTGACGAGGTACTTCATGATCTTTTCAGCAGGCAGTGGCCTGCCCCTGGTGCTTCTTCTGTCTCGAATGGATTGCAGGTTGTTTTCAGGAGTCGCTGCTAAACATTGCCACACCTCAAAGTCCCTTTCCCTGTCCTTGAAGCCTCTGTTCTCGAAGCCAACGGATCCACCAACCAAGACAAAGTCAAACTGGTGGAGGTTTGGCGTAATCAGGAGCTTGATCAAATCAATGTGTGGTAACATCTTAGCCACATCCTCTTTTTTAATTTCATCGTAACACTCGTTAACCTGCAAAAGCATTAAAAATTCACAATTATATGAAATTGTATTATTTAAAATATGTTTAAAAAGCGCGTATCTGCACATGGATAGTTAATTTTAATGAGGCTGAAAATATACAGTTAAAAATAAATGCAAAATGCAATAGATCCAATACATAATTATATGTATACCTTCAAACTGTTGTCATGAGCTTGACCAACGAAGCGGAAATAGCCCCAATGAATCCGCTCTGGAATCACTTTGGTGATTGCTTCAAGAATGTCTGTTTTTACTCCATTGGCTACAAATGAAAATAATAAAATACTGTAGGAAAATTATTATTAAAATTTCAAATAATTCTTGCACTAAATCAAAAGAATTTCAAAATCTTGACACATTTCACTAGGATTAATAATTATAAAACTCAAAAAATTCTCCAATTGAAAATCTTTTAAATAATTAAATTCCTTACACAGATTTTGTATCAGCTGAGGGGCCATCTGGAAGCGTGGCAGATTTGAGAGGAAGCTCCTCATGGCCAGGTCCTTCAAGGGTACCAGATTCAGTGTCCGTGACTGCAGAAATTGAGACACTTCTAACATGTCTCGTGTACTCTCCCTACTTATCACAGCCTCTGAAAAATTAAAAATCTCTCTTGATCAGAGATTTTGTGCACAAAATGGAATAATGCTTGACATACTTTCAAATTTTTCGTCGGTTTTCCAAGGGCCTACGCGCGGCCTATAAATCCCTCCTGCTCCTATAAATTTGTGAGAATTATTTGAAATGATTATAATTTAAAAAAAAATCTAAAAGGATTTTGAAAACATACTTCTCCTCATTATAAAAGCCACTGTTTTCAGAAGGTTTGAAAGAAATATCCAACTTGTTCAGAAAAAAGCAGTCCTGCTGAAAGGTTTCCGACTTCCCTGAGACCTGATAGAAGGATGATGTAACTTTTAGGTTGAGCGCCTTTGAGCGGTGTCAAGAATTTTCTGGGAACTAAAAAACCGTTGAGACCGTTGAGTTTTCACTGTTGACAATATGAATGCGAATGCGGCCAACAATCGGCCGGATTACATAAGTCTGATCCGATTGAGAATTGACATGCATAGTGACATAAGGACTTCTTAATGATACAGTCAAATCAAGTCTGTACAACAATGGTTTGTTAAATTTACAATAATTGCCAAAAATTGCTTCTATTGTTGCAAAGACTTGATTTGACTACATCAATAAGGAGTCCTTAATACACATAAACATAAAAATTAAAGCAGGGGGTTGTGCACAATTATGTGTACGTGGAAGAGAAATGTCATAAAAAGCATAAATACAAATGCACTGCGTGGCCATGGCATGGCTATGGCGTGGCCACTGATTGCAGTAGAACTAGATACGTACAACGTACAAGTAATCAAAATATTTAAAAAAAAAAACCAACAGTACATACATAAAACTAACTGAAAACGACCGGACCTGAATGAAAACAAAACACCAAAAACAAAACAAAAGCAGACCGACCAACTGTAGCAAGTGAGTGCAGCACTGCAAACAGTGCAAACTGCAATTTTTGGAATCCAAGATCCCAGGAGTGGCGTAAGTGGGAAGGTAGAGTAGAAGGGGAGAGGAGGGAGCGAATATAGGGGCCAGACCGGGGGAAGCAGAAAACTGATTAAATTTAATGTATTTAACATTTAAGCATTAAGCAAGCGTGATGAATTTAAAAAAAAATAATAAAAATAATATATCAAATCCGTTCGACGCTCCTCAGAGTCCTGAGTAAGGTATGTAAGGTTTCCAACTGCCCATGAGATCTGAGAGAACATTACGACTAATTAAATTATTATAATTGCTTCACAATTAAAATGATCAACCGCTATAATCTACAGGTAAAAATTTTCTCATGCATGCATTTATGGTATATATGCATATTGCAATAAGATAATTAAATTAAATTGCTTTATATCAGTATGAATATGAAACACTTAAATTAGGCATAAAGTTAGCAATCAAATCCCTTTTCAGTATATATTGGAACATATTGGAACTTAATATTTATCTGTAATATTAATTTTATACTTATATTATTTCTTTCATATTCATAAAAATTCAACTTCCGCGAAAAACTCCAAATCGTGCACCCGTAATCAACGCAGAGTGAGATTTGCGCGCACAGACACAAAATATGAATCACCACGCGGCGGAGAAAGCGGGAGAGGAGAAAATCATTTTCAAAGAACACATAAGCAAATAATGCACACGCGCTTATTGCATGCAATTGTACTTCCGCAGCCACCCACGCAGTTGCCATGACGACCGGCACCGAGGGGTGGGTCGGGGTGGTAATAAAGCACCCCACCCGCCGGCGCCATGTGGCCGGCAGTCGGCAACAATCGCGTACGGGGACGGGGCAACAATCGCTCGAGCGACAATCAGGCCACGACGGCGCGGCTCACAACCAAGCAAAACTCGGCAGCATGCCCAGAAATTTTTTATTCCGTGCCAGCAGCAGCGCCGCTTTTTTACACCGATATTATTTTATTCTCGGCCGTCATCTCGGCCGCGAGAGGTGATTTCGAGTCTCACACCGGACACGACCAACCCGTTCCCCCGAGAACAAAAAAGAAAATTTCAAGTGTGTTTCTCCAGAGGAAGAAGACGAGTCCCCGAAACGGCCCCTTGGGATTAATTGCAGTGCGTCGTCCTGAAAAAAACTGGTCTGTGAGTTGAAGAAATCATGTTTGAAGAAAAAGTGTGGCCCCGGGGCCGTGCATGATTTGCGGGCCCCGACGAGGGCGGTGGTGGCGCACACGCTGCTTGAAGGGGTTGCACAAAGGGGGTGCGGACGAACGTCAGACCGGCCGCTGCCGCAACCACACTCATCCCTTGTGACTCACTCGGGCCCAGCATGGATCCGGCGCGCGACTTTGAATCGCTCCAAATCAAGACCAAAAGCATCGAGCAAACTCTGCTGCCTCTTGTGAAACAGGTAGGAATGACGAAACCAAAATTAGAATAAAAAGTACTTTAATTTTAATTCAATCTTCTTGGAAAAGTTCATACAAGATTTTAATTTTTTAGAAATGTTTTAATTCCAAATTTAATAGCCTATTTTTTTAGGTATTGCCTTTTTAATTTATAATAACTTAACTTTTCTTTTATTACTTAAGTAGTTTTTATTATTCCAAAGATTACACCAGGTGATTAAGAGCTAACGAAGTTAAAAGGAACTTTATATTCTCTTGAAGGTTCATTCTTCATGTAGACAAAAAACTTCCACTCCATTATGAATTCCATACTCGACATCAGTTCCATTCTCAAAATGAATCGGCCAGTAGGTAGGACGGGCCAGTACATTGAATGCAAAAAAGTCTCCGTGCCTGTCTACAAAAGAAACGGCGGCCGAGCTTGTTTTTTGCCCGTGTGTTGTCCGCATCAAAAGACTGCATTGCCGTCGCTCTCTTCCTACAATATTCCGGCGGCGGCGGCAGAAAAGCTCAACACCGAGAACGAAGACGCCGCCGCGAGCGTTATTATCCCTTGAGTAGGACAAAAGCAGGCGGAACAATAATAATTTTCAAAAGCGCGAGAATGAGACGTGTGTGTGTGTGTGCGATTTTAATTTTGTTTATATGCACCAGAATTCATGCTGACGCGCGCCGTTTCTTTTGGACGACTGTAAATAGAAGGACGACGACGGCGTCTGTCTATTTTTTGCCTCCTCGCGCGGCGTGTGTGTTTACAAGTGGAGGCGCGGCGCGGCGCATTTGACGTGTACGATTAACCCGACTCGCTCTCGCGGCCGAGGTGTTAGACAAACGCACTCGCGAGCATAAACATTTCTGAAATAACATCAGGCTTACCTCTCAAACGGATGTTTAAATTAATGGTTATAAGAATATTGAGAAATTTAAAATAGTTCGAAATAATTTGCCAAAATAATAATTTATGATTTGATTATTGTGCAAAATGTTTGAAGAACTTTAAAGAAAATTATTTTCTTTTTTAATTTTTCACGGGGAAAAAAATTGGCAAAATACTTTAATAATGTGTTTTAATTAATCATAATTCTAAAATATTTTTCATCATTATTTGAATCCTACTAAAACAACTAAAGCCAAATTAATATTAAAGAATTTTTAAGTTATGAGTACAACATAAAAGTTGTTTATTTTCCAATAGTTAAATTTTCGTATTACTTGGTCCGCCGACCGCCATATTCAGTGGTAATGTTTTACAGATTTTGTTAAATGAAACTCTTATTAAAAGTGATTAAAAGAGTCTAATTTATAAAATATTTTATTTAAAATACTTACAATTGTTTAAATTACATTATTGTACACAGAGTTGTCAAATATTAATTTATTAATAATTTGAAATTATATTTTCATAACGTTTAGATTTTTTTTAAATTTTATGTTTTATAATTAGTAACATTTTCATGGCTCATTAAATTTTTTAAATTACGATTTACTATTCAATGCAAGCTCCAATAATTATTTTCAAGAATCACACAATATAAAGTGTTACTGGTAGTTATATCCTAAAAAAACAACTAAAAAACACAGAGAGATTTTATGCAAATCTCGTCCAAAATTTATATAAATAAAAAAAATTCAAATTGATAAATTACATCTAATTCAGTTGACATTATAGGAGTTTTGCCAAGCATTAACAACAGATTAACGCTAGAAGATTTTGGCCAACGTGCAGTGATCATGTTTCTGTTTACAAACTACAAGACAGTGACGCGACATTTATAGAATAAATTGAAACAAAGCAATCTTTACACAAGCGATTATTTTCCAAGGAGATGAATTGACAAAGTTTGATATCAAATATGATACTTGCATTACCATTTGCATTTTCGTGGTTCTGGAAAGGCAATTTATTTTTTCCTAAGTGTAAATGGAGTCATTAATAAACCCTAAAGTTTAAAATCCTTAAATATTGGCAATCTGTGAACAGATTTTGCATAAACTTTATACTCCTCCAAAATAAATTATTTATTTTTAGTAACATTTAAAAAAGTGGCATAACAAAGATTTTCAACAAATTCGATTATTTGTCTTACATAAAAAAAATCATGCTATGTTAGATGAAGGTACATTATTTGAGCTTGAAATTGTGTTGTTTTCCGTGTTGTTTGAGGAGCACGTGGCCGGTCGCTTCCCTCTGTCCGGTCAAATTCCCTTGTTCCTTTCGTGCATATTTGCGTGAGTGCGAGAGATACCGACACGGAAAATTCGCCGGGACACGTTATTGAAATTTATGGGGCTGCAGAGCAGCCGCCGGGGCAAAAATTAAATTTATGCCTCGACGATGCTCCGGGAGGTATGCAAATTGAAAACAAATTGGGCTCTGTGGGAGCTGTTGCCGCTCGGATCCGGAATTCGCTCTCGTTCGCTACTGCAGAGTATTTTATGTACCAAGGCCGGCTGCTGCTCCACGCCGAGCTCCGCAGGCGCCAAAATGAGGCGTGAAATGATTGGGGCTGCATCAACTTGCAATACATTTTCCACCCTTAGTGGAAAAAGGGTTTGGCAAATTTGTGGTAATATAAATAGTATTTTCATGCCAAAAAGGAAGAGGGTGCGAAAAGCGAGAAAACATAAAAACGTTGGAATAAACAAGTCGAGCATTATTTTCGTATAAATTTCCCGACCTGGATATTTTTGTTTGGAAAAACTTTTTGAATCCAAAGCAGAATCAAATAAAAGTAAAAGGAAATCTCTTGGAAAAATTAATGTGAAAGTTTTGTCAAAAATCGTTTATAAATTCACAAATTATTTCTACTAAAAATCAGTTTGATTTGTAAAAATTTGTTAGAGGGAAAATAGCATTAAATATAAATCAGAAGATTTTTCTCAATCTAATAATTTTAATTAATCTTTAATTTTAAGATTCGTTTCACCCAAAATCTAATTTGATGTCAACTAATGTTTATAAATACAATCCTGCCGATTTTTTTTCTTTTACTTATTTTTTTTTTTTTATTTGCAAACAAGTTTTCAAGAAACAAGCAATTTGAGGTTAGGTAATGCAATGATTAAAAGTGCATTTAAATAAAGATTTTAAAAGCTAATCATTTTTCTGCAACACAATGAGTAAGGAATTTCTGCTGAGTTCAATCTTAAATCTCTTAAATTGTTTCATATTATTTGTTTTAATTTTCACGAGTTTTTCATTTGTATGCCCCTCCTAATATTCGCGTTTATCTTTAGTTGCTACTTTGTATGCAAATCCTTTCGTACAATATATCAGACTAATCTCCCGCTGATAAACATTAATTACAATCTTCATTGTTTCCTAAACACATTTATTTTCTCTCCAACAACTTTTCGCAGCCGCGGATCACGTGCTCACCGGCCATAAATTTAACGTCTGTCTCGCGTTGAATGCAATACGGCTTACTATACAATTTCATCGTTCGTCATGCAAATTTCCCAGCAGGAAGCAAAACGAACGGAGAGTGTGAAAAATTTATGGCACCGGAACACACAAAAAGCCACCGTGCTTACCGTTTAATATGCGCCAATTGATCTTTGCGTTTTATGGCTGCTTTTGCGCATGTAAATCAATACGTCGATAAAAGACGTTAGTCACGGGTCGATGTGTTTGCGGTTTACGTCGCCCCGTCGGTCAGTGATAACCTTCAAAGTTGAGGCAAACAAATGTCGAAAATATCAAAATACCATCGGAATAGAACATGCGCATTAAAATTCATTTCATCATAAAAAGGAAGATCAAGCTGACCAAAATAGCTTTAACTCTTTACATTGTTTTGATTTTGAGAAATAGAAAATAGTTAAATTGAAAAATCAGCTCCACTCCAAAATTCCAAATTTATAACATACATTTATAACCCTTTTTTCTTCTAAATAAAATGAGTAATGTATAATAATATTTAAGCGCAAAAATATTATAATCACTTAAAATAAAAGAAAGTTGTGTACATAACATTTTTTTATAATTTTCATTTTTTTTTATTTAAAGAATTAAAAAATTACATTTTTTTTTTAAATCAACAAATTTACAAATCTTTTCTCTCTGATATTTTAAAAATAAATTTTACTTCAATAATTTTACAGTTAAATTTTTAAAACACAAAGCTCTTACGAAAATTGAAATGATTAGTTAAAAATAAGTAATAAGAATTGCATTTGAATGTAGTACAAAAAGGCAAGATGCATTTTCAAAATGCATCTGAAATAAATTAAAAACTGTAACATTGTACATGTGTAATAATAATGAAATTCAATGATCTCTGATCTCTGTTCAATGCAGTTCAATGCTTTAAATAATTTTAATGACAATGATTTTTTCTTCTCTATTTAATGGTTCGATGATATCCACTTTCAAGGACTCTTTTTAAATTAATTTTAAGTTAATCAGCGATGTTCTAATGCATGTCAGAGATATTTGTAAATTATTATCAATAGCCAAACTTCTATTTTTGGAGTGTTGTAAATAATTCCCGCATCTCTCAACACTGTATTAAAGCTTAGTTCACCGTTGCGGAAATTCCGTGGTTTTGCAATCCGGATCAGATGGCGGCGGGGAGGAAAAAAGCCGCGGCGCATTATAGCGAGAGAGACGCAACAAATATTTGCGGTCGCGTTTAATTAAATCCAGTTTGGATTGCGCGCTGCGGCGGCAGGGCTTCCCTTAATGGGATTCGGCACGTATATGTGCCTCCTCATCTCATCAGCCTCGTTACCAAATACATAATGCAGAATAGTGGGCTGCACAATTCACAAACACGCGGCTCTCGCCCCGATAAAAAGTGACACTTTTTGGACGACTCCCAAGCAACAACTCTAAATTTAATCCAGCCGCTCGCTGACACTCGAGATGGAAACAAATTAAAAAGCGCGAGAGAGCGATTTTTCTCTCTCTGCTCTATCTCGAAGTGCTTTTTTCCAATTCGACGGCCGCCTCCTCTTTTTCCGACGGCTGAAAAGTCTTTTTCTCTCAGGAGCACTTTCG